CAAGAACAGCATGAAGGACGCAGCGGCGGCGCTATTTGCACGGATCGCCAATCTCTTCGTCGCCAACTTCACCGTGACCTTCCAGAACGAACTTCGCTTTATGGTACATACCGTCTAGGTTGATGGCATGTTTTGAGCTGGCACCATGATATCCTCTAGTCCGAGATGACGGGTTCGGCCGCCGCACAAGCCATGCGGGCGGACAACGTGCCCGTCCAGACGATCGTACGGCATGCATCCAGCACCCTTTCGCGATTGTAATGACTCATTTTCTTATCTCCACAACGTTCATGTTGTTTCGTGCACTTTCCACGCAAGCAAGTGAGCGTGAACTGCGTGGTTTTCCAGCGCACGGTCGACCTTCCGCCCCAACGACTCCAGTTTCTTGGCAAACTTTTCCGCCACCACCGACTGCGACTTGAATTGATCTTTTCGACCGCACAATGCATGCACTTCGATCATGATCTGAACTTGCAGCTTGAGGTTTTTCGTGTGGATCGCAATTTTCAACGCATTCGTCAACGTTTTGTCGCCGTCTTGGAGTCTCCCTGGCATCGCATTGTTACATCTCCGCACACGCGTCGTCCATTCCTCTCGTACCATACTCGACGAGTTTTGGGCCAAACAGCACCATGATCTCGGCGGAGATGTTGGAGCAGTTGATCGAGGTTGTCGCGAGTTCCAAGCAGTCCTGAAGCATCGACAGCATGTAGCTGCGGAGGGTGTCCATATCTGGGTAAGTTCCGACTTGACCGAGGCATTGCGTGCCCCACAGCCACTTGCACAAGTACAGATCGTACTGTGCATATTACGTTAGGCCCACGAGATGGATTCCGCCAAACGATATACATACTTTGGCTCGGATTTCCTTGCTCGGGCCGTTGTAAATGACCGCGCGGAGGTTCACATCGCGCAGCACTCCCGCAGCAAATTCAAGCAGGTTTTCATCGGGAAAGTACGGGTGGACGGATGGGACAGCGCCGCCAGGGTCGGTCTTGGGCAGCGGGAAGCATGACAACGCAGTCGACACGTCCAGGAGCCCCATCATGTGCGCGAGGTTGGCATCTGAAAGCTGCGGCCATTGCGGGGTGTTGGCCAAAATCAGCGCGAACGCAGCATTCACATGGTTGATGGCGTCGTCCATGCAGTTCAATCCGTGGGCATACTGCAGTCCATCGTGAATTCAGCGTCAAAAGTCGTTCTTGTGTTCGTACCTTGGCCAGCAGAATGTGGACAGCCGTGCACATGGACGAACTTCGCGCGGACTCGGCCACGCTGGGCAGTTCTACGACATGGACCAGCTCCGACGCGAGGGTCGCGAGCTCCCCGAACCGGCTTTGGGCTTCGAGGAGGTGGCAGATTGTAAGGTGTGCGTCAAACCAGAGAAACGGTGGGGCGTCCCGGGGTTCTGTCTGCAAGCTGGATAAGAGGGCGGACGAAAGAGTCATGGAAGCGGTGGGATTGTAGTACGAATGGACTTGGAGATGGAGCAGGGCAGGAAGTTGGCGCCAAGATGGAGGCATCAAGTGGGGATGCGTTGTTACTTGAGACAGCGCAAGGAGCTCGTCCGCAAGTGGGCGTGCGCGGATGACGTCGCCCGTGCGAAAGAGGAGGAGAATGTGCAGCACTAAGAAGTACATGCGAAGGTCTGGACGACTTGGATGCTGTGTCGAGAATGTATCGCAGAACGAAAACAATTTCGACGAGTCGTCCGTCGAGATCACCGACTGTTCCAGTAGCGAGTGGCACAGAACTTCCAGGAGCCATAGCTACCGCAGAGACGACATGAAGCATGACGTTGAGATGCGAACTCACACCTTGAAGGAATCGCTGGATGTGGTTGGAGCCAAGGTGTCGTATGCAAGCATAGCACAATCGCGGAATGTAGAGGGAATGGAAGTTGGCGAAGATGAACGAGACAGGCAACACATCACGTGGATTTGGTTGAGCTGCTGCCGTAGTGCACACCGATACCAAGTGAGCCATGTGGCGAGGTCGTGGGCTTGCTCGCACATTCGAATGCCTTGACACAGTAATTCAACATGGGTGCGATGGGCAAAGGGATCAGCTAAACACTTGAGCATCCACTCGCATCGATGTCGTCGTACGCCCCACTACGTCATGTCCGTTGCGTTGACGTGGACAACACGATGGAACGTCGCGAGTACCTCGTGGCGAGGAAACGGCAACGACGTGGACCCACGCTGTTGATGCGGAACACGTTGGAGAATTCGTGCAGCATCAGGCAACCTGTACGTCTTTGCATGATTCTGTTCACCTTCCATTGCAAGAGTGAGGTACAACTCCGCGATGTACATGTCGACGATCTCAAATTGTCCAACCGACAGCGTCGCGGGCGAGGATGGCATGCGAATTGCCTACAGTGCGCATATTCATACAGCTTCATGCGCACCACGCATGCAGTGCTCGTACCAGGAAGCATCGCAGTGCCTCCTTCTCCTGCTTGAGGTTGCTCAGCTCGCATCCTAGCGAGAAGAGCGCCAGGACCTCGTTCATGTGGTTCTACTGCAAAAATGGCGGGATTTCGACCAATCACAATGTGTTCTTGACCGATTAGTACCATCAATTTTACTTGCATTTTGTAGGACAAGTTCAAACAATAGTTAGTAGAACCTTAGAAATTGGTAGTAGTACTAGAAAGGAGTAACCAAAAGGTGAACTGTTGACCGACGATCGCATGGACACAGATATGACTGTCCAAGGTCGTCACCTTGGCTCTTCTCTGGTGCACATGAGATTGGCTCATTGGGCGGTCCCTGACCGTGTTTGAGCTGTGCTTTGGCGCAGTGGATTTGATTGCTCTAGGGATGTTGAGATGGTTCAGTCGCCTGAATGGGAATGCCCACGCTGCGGTAGCCGGAAGCGTTTAGGAAAGCTATTGTGGCATGTGTTGGCAGCACACGAGCATCTTGAAGAATGGGTTTGCTCCTGCGCTTCCTGCATCCTCGGAGCTGTTGACAGTCACATCAGCGGCCCAGCATGGGTCGAGATACGTCTATCCGTGGCGAGAGGCATGTCCGAGGCTCTGGGGGAAACATGATCGGACAAGTCGGCAAACGACCCCGTTTTGTGCATGAAATTAGATCCAACCTCCGAAGCAACGAGGCGTGCTTGACCGCCTCGGCGTAGAGCATGGCGCGACGGCACAGTCGACCCCAAGCCCACAGGCAACATCGCGTCGTCAAGATTGAGCTTGGCAATCGTCCAACACCACGAGGCGCCAACTGCGATGCACCGTTGGAGCTCTACCACCTCGACCGAGCATGTCCATTGCCAGCCTTGCGATGGCGCAGCAAAACGACCAGGCGAGCAACATCCATGTCGAAATGGCCCAGTTGGCCGCCAGTATCGGGATGAGTCAAAGTGTCTCGGCCGCCGTCGACGCAAATGGAAACCCATCGATCTCGTCGTCCCAAGTGTACGTGGCCTGTAGTGATCGAATTACGTTCAATACGTATGGTGGTTTCGTTGCTGGCTCGAACGAGTTTGGAAGCGTGGTGACGGATTGAGCGCGCTGAAATGAACTTTGGCATTAAAGCAATCAGTTGACATGGATGGATGGGCTATCTTGCATGTTGTGGGATATTCATCGGTTTCCTGGGAGATATGGGGTGCTTACTGGTTCCTGTTGTGTATGCAGAGACGTCCTGGAGCT